TCTGTGCGCTGCCAACTCTGCAGCTCTCATTGGCTGGGCTTTGAAGCCAATGGGAGCTGCAAGGATAGAGCAGGCGGGCAGTGGCATGTGGACTTCCACTAGCTCTCATGCCTAGGTGGCGCTGCCAGAGGGGCATGCCAGTCACTTTTGGGAACTGCCCGAGGTAAGCACCAATCCTCTGGCCCCCTCCCATATCCCAAATACCTGCCCCAGCTCAGAGCCTACATCCCTCATCCCTTCCCACATCCAAACTCCCTCACAGAGTCCACACCACCTCCCACACTCCAGCCCCCGCCCTAGCCTGGTGAAAGTGAGTCAGGGTGGGGGAGCATGAGTGACAGAGGAAGGGGGCACAGAGTGAGTGTGGGCAGGCCCTTGAAGAGGTGGGCCTGAAGTGTAGCTTCGGTGAAAGGGCATGACAAAGGTATTTAGATTTGTGCAATGAGACAGCTGCCAACCCAACAAGGCAGGCCTGTGGAAACCTTGGCTGTGCGGGAAGACTTTGCCCAGCAGCGCAGCTTGGCAGCTCATTGGGCACCAGCCAGCTCAGGTGCAATACTGCTCATAGGTCAGGTGACTGTGTGTGGGTGTGACTCGTGTATGCATGAGGGCCCACTGACTGTTCCACCCTAGGGCCTGGAATTGGTGGCAGCAGGCCTGCTAGCATCTCAGCCCCTTTGCAAATCTGGACAACTGCACAGAAAATCCTATGATTTGTAATAAGTATTAGCCATTATTTTTGTACGAAGATATCTTGTGAACAGAGCTGTTTTGCATAATATAAAATCCAACTTTACATAGTGTTTGGGGATTATTCATATGCGGCTATTGAAATGTCACACTATTGTGAGACATTCTGCAAAGAGATGTTTACAAAGGTTTAAGCTCTCTCATTGATTACTGCATCACAACTCTGGTGCCACAACAGCCCTGCCAGCTGTACTCATTAACATGCCAGCAGACACACTTTGTCAAATAATGCTTGAGATGTAAACATCAGTAAAATAAACCACATTTAGCCTACTGTCTCAAAGTAGCAAACTCTATAATGCTACACTGTGAGTTTCTCTGCCTTTCTGTTGTATTGCATAATGGTTTCTTGTTGTGGGGTAGTGTTATTAAGATTGCAACATATCCCAAATGTTGACAAATCCGAGTCAGACCCTGAAAAAACATGGAGATTTTTTAAATAAATATTTGTAGTCCTCTTTATTTTCATGCTTTCCCTGCAACCATAAGGTCTAGAAACAGACTTCTTGTTAGTGAAAGCTAAAATTCTCATGAATCCATCAGCTGAGGCTTTAAGAAAAACATTAATTATTTTGAGACTCACAATAAAATCATGAGAACTGACAATTCTGAGGTTTCTTTTACTGTAATTTGGAAAGTTTAACTTTACTGACATTTTCGGAGCTGCTTTAAACAGCACTCCTTTTGTATATTTGACCAAAAGGTAAAAAAAAAAAATCATCTTTTTATGAATGACTGTTCTAACAGCTTGTCAGTACTGTCACCCAAAGGATTTATCATACTTTGCAATGTGCCGCTTACAGTGATTTGTATAGTACTTTTTCATATAGAAAAAAGAGAGCAGGAAAATAATCCCCTATCAGCAAGTGTGAGAGTTAGGCATAATTCCAGTTTCTCTAAACTGACACATAGACACTGCAGCCCCATCTCTTTCACACTACCCTGGTGGCACAGAGGATGGAAAGATGCTCTAGAGAGGACAGACAGGTAGAATCCCAGTGACAGATGAATTTATGTCCCCTCTTCTCCATTCTACTGTCAAACTAGGTCTTGTGTTGAACTTAACTTGATTGGCACCAGGGAGCGGAACCCACATTACACTATTTTTATGAACATTGGGAGTTTTACACTAAATAGAAATACAGTTATTGGACACTTCAGGATACTCCAGCCATGAGGATTCCTAAATGGTGAATTTCCACTCTTGCCAGCCACTGTTCTGGATTAGGGGATGGATGAGACTCCTGAACACAATTTACATGCAACCAGTGATCTGAGTAATTACGTCTTTAGTGGGCATCTTTCTGACACTCTTCCAGTCCATCCCAAAGTTCTCTCAACACTTTGATGTGTGCGTACTTTGCAGGAATCCCAGACTGGTTTGTTACTACCCCTCTCCGTATAACAGGACCATAATTCTGTTGCATGGGGGAATTTCACCCTGAGTTCCCAAGATACAGTTGTTTTCACTTTAGCATACTGCTATCAAAATGATGATTATGTAAGCAATAAATAAATACAATATATGTTCAATACATTTATTCAATACAATAAAGTTCAGATATTTAGCTTTTGTCTGATAGGTTTGTTTTTTTCCCTTGATAAAGCAACAATGATTCTTTAACACAATGCAGGGCAAGTGGTTTTATTTAACTGAGTCTATTAACTTTGCAATTAAATACCTACATGCTCTAAAATATCAGATTGAAGAGAAGAAGAAAAGATCCCCCCCATCCTTCTACTGAATTTTTTTTTAAAGTAAAGTTTCCAGATATGTAAATCTTTGTATATATTCCTACTTTCAGATGGTTAAATATTCTCATAGTAAATAATGCTTTCAGATTTTAATCCAATTTTCATTGGCTACATGTACACAATGCAATAATATATAGGTGTGACATAGTGGGGGTACTTGCTGGGCTGTGGTGACCCCTGCTGTCTGGAGCAAGACCCAACGCGGAAAACCTCACTATGCAAAGGTAATGCCAAACTTGTTGAACCAGACACCCCCCATGGAGAGGAACAAAGGAAGGTGGAATGCTGCCCTGGCTGGGGGGCAGGGCTGGAAGAGAGTTAGTTAGTTGCTGTCTGAGAGCATGGAGGAGACAGCCTAGGGAAAGGGGCTGGAGTTTAGGGGCCCAGTCTCCCCCATCTCAAGGGGGCCTGAGGCATCCTAGCCCAGCTCTGTGACCAGATTACATCTGTGCTGTGCTGTATCCTGGAGAGGCAATAAACTTCCTCTATTCCACCGGCTGGAGCAGTCTGTTTGTGCCATTTTGGGGTGCAGGAGATGGGGGAACCCCAACGCGCCGTCACAATAGGCATTAAGGTATTTTAGGACTATCATTTCCTACACTACAATAGACCCTGATTCAGCCAGATACTTAACCACAGTCCTAACTTCCACACAGGAATAGTCAGTGGGACAATTCACATGCTCAGAAATCTTGCTGAATTGGTAATGGTCAAAATAAAAGATTTAAACTCGTAGTCTCTTTTCAGGCAAAGGCATTAGGAGGTCAATATTTTTTCTTGATTAAGGACTGTAGAAGTGGGCCCAAGTTTTTGCAGTGTTTACACAGATGTTAAAGTATGATTTTCAAAATGTACCCAAGACTGGCCCAACTTTGGTCCCACTGACATCAGTGGGAGCAGAGTTAGGCCAATGCTGAGTGTTTCTGAAAATCCCACTTACAGTTTCTGGTTACATGATATGTTAAGGTTCTGTTCATACTGGGTTAATGAGTACTTAAACCAGGTTTTCATAAATGGTTGGCCAATTGTTAAAAAGTCCAACAGCACAACAGGTTGGTTATAAATGTGCCTTATGACCTCCTACTGATATGTTCATAACCATCTATAAAATATACTAATTGCCTGTAACATGCTTAAAATACGTACCTACCCATTACTTTCTACATCTTTGTAAACGGACCCTTAATAGAAAGCGTTACTGTTCCTTTTCTTTCAATAATGCTGCTGTTTCTTTGTTCCAAATAGTCTCAGCGCTCTGAAATGTGTTTGTAGAGCAGTAGCAACTAGCAGTCCCAGCCCCGCTGCCCTATGCACTGCTCAAACACACCCCCACAGCGCGGCTCCCTGCCCCCAGATGGTTTGTTTTCTTGTGGTTAAATCATGAAGCCTGCAGAGCTGGATTCAAACCTCAACTTCGCTGCAGCCCGGCTGTGTCATCTTGGGCAGTTCTGAAGCTCTCGGGCCTGCCTGCTCAAACGCTGCCTAATTGGCGGCGGTGGGCGGCTACATACCTTGAGCAGCTGAGCCGCTGGTCCGCCAATCTCCTCGAAGGCAAAAAGTGGGCTCTGCCGGGAGGAGTTGGGCGGCTTCACAAGCGCTTGGCGAACCCGGGCTGGACGGTGCCAGAGAAGCGCCAAGTGGCTTTAGCCCAAACCTCGGGGTTGCAGCAGGGATCGCTGTGAAGACACCCGAGGGGGCGCTGCCTTCCGAGCTCCTGGACCCAGCGAGGGCGAAGCCCGGGCTGAATTCCCGCCCAATGCCCCTGTGGGCTGCCCCACGCCGTGCC